ATCTAGACTGCATGGAATACGCAAGAAAACTACTGCGAACTTTAAAGTCAAAATGAGCTAATAACTAATGTTTATAAGCTATTTTCGATATTACACTTACTTAAAAGTGTGCTAGTATAGTCAGCCTCTCTGAAGTGATCGCTGCAGACTTTACGAAGGCATTTTAACTTGGTTATATCGCTATGACGATACGATCGGCTATTCGTGATTCCTGTATCTTTCCAACTGACCGGTTGATTGCGCAATCGTTGTAACACCTCTAACTCCCGCTGCGCCACCTGCTGACATTTCTAGCGGCTAACCCCATTGCCGATACCTTCCAATACATCGCCATTGTGCCGCCCCGAAAAAATCTACATTTGGTCATAGGGGTGGGTAGAATAATGTATATAGCAGATTTAGTTTAAATGGCTGTCTTCCTGATATGCATGAATGTGAAAGCGCGTTTCAACAGTTTTATACAATCTTGCATATAGGAAATTGCATAACTTTTAAATATAACGAATTTGTATAGCACCTCTGCTTAGGAAACACCTCCCTACAACCCTATTCCTATAGCATATAGCACAATCCACACAAGTACTGCGGTGTAGGCGGAGGTGCAGTCGGGTTTTCTCTTGCTGTTTTGTGAGGATGTTGTTTTGCTGTTAAATTTAGAGTATTAAACATGTTTTTACTCTGTAGGTAACCAGGGTATTTTTCGCGAGCAAGTAGGAGCAAGAAACCACCGCGATGGGTAAGTGTATTTCTCTGAAAGCATAAATTTTCCTTCATCAAATTGAAAATCCATTTCATATTCGCCCACGGGCACGGGCACTGGCACTGGCAGTTTCAGCGGACGTGTTAGCTCTAGTACTGTAACTATAGCCCGCTTTCATTAACTTCCTGTGGCAGTTAATGAAAGCGGGCTATAGTACTAGAGCTACGGACGTGTATACTTCTACTTCTACTTCTATACTGGACAGTCCGTAAGGAATAAACGTCCAGGGCTATAGCTAGCCATGTATAGAGATGATTCATCGAAGTTGTTGAAAATTACTGTTTTGTTTAGCTCACAATCATCACATATGTTTTTCCATAGTTCATGTAATTTTTCTTATATTACAACCTTCTTGCTGTTTTTTGCAAGATGAAAGTAAATATTAATATAAATGCTAATTTAGTAGTTTGTGTGGGGAGTTCCCAAAAAATGCTAAACCACTTCTCTCATAATACTCGCGTGTAGATGACGGCAACATATTTGTACATGCATGATGTGCTTTTAGCTCCAAGAAACGGTATTGCTAGGGTTATAATAGATACAATAATGTAACCCAAACACAGGATAGGAACCAGGACAGGAGAGGACAACCTATCCTGTGTTTGGGTTACATTATTGTATTTAGGGTTAGAATAGTCAATACGTGTATATTGACGTTAGTCACACAGCCTGGTCGGGTTAGATGTGCTTTGTGAACAGTGAAGTACATCGATAGGTCAATGTGCATTATTTTGTGTAATAAACTGTAATAATTTGTGTGATAAAAATGAGCAAAAATGTTCAACTGTAAAGTAGGTATTAGTAGGCACCTAGTGCAGTTGCATGTTGCCTTCTAGCAAAAGAAGAGTGAAATTATCACAGAATTATACCCCCGTCACACCGGACGGCGACCATCCGCGACCGTACGGCGACCAGAAAATGTACAAGGTCGCCGGCAAATGCGAACACAACGCGAGAAACAGTCCCAACAAATTACAAACTTGAAAAAAA